GCGGTACCCCCAGGGGCCCCGCGGCAGCCATGCCATGGGGCTGCCCCATCCCTGGGTGCCCCGTGTGCCTCTCCGGGACCCGAACCCAGCAGGGTGATCGGCTCCTCCTGCCAGCATCCAGCCAGCCCTACCTCCACAGTGGGTGAGCCCGTACAGCGTGTAGCCCTTGTTGCAGAGGCACTGGAAACTGCCGGGGGTGTTGATGCAGAGGTGGTCGCAGGTCCGGTCGAAGGAGCACTCGTCGATGTCTGAAGGAAAGGCAAGGGGGAGAGGTGAGGGCTGGCACTGCAGAGGGGCTGCAGACAGCCCTGGGCTGTCCCCTTCCTGCTCCAATTGCTCCAGCAAGCTGGGGGCTGCACTGGGATGCTGTGGGATCCTGCACTGGGATGCTCCAGGGATCCAGCCCCGGGATGCTCCAGGAATCCAACACCAGGATGCTCTGGGGATCCAGCACTGGGACGCTCCAGGACCCTGTGCTCCTACCCTGCCTGCCTCCAAGCTCCCTCCTTGCCCACTCCAGCTTCTGCTACATGGGAGCAGCAGCCCACTGCACCAGCATCCCCCCCTGCCCCAAGCTCCTGCAGTCCCTCTGCACCTCAGACGGGCCAAACGGGGCCAGCACCATGTCCTTGGCATGGGGCGGCTGCGAGAGCCCCCAGTTGCTGCCCGGCCAGGGCTCTGCCCTGTGCCAGGGAGGGATGCTGCGCAGGCAGGTCCTGCCCCGGGGACGGTGCCAGCGATGTCTGCTCACCCCCGCGGGGCACCTCGCCGGGGCAGGGAGGTCCCGGCCGGGCGGGTGAACCCAACCCAGCGGGTTTGAGCATCATTTCATTGGCTTCATTAAGTTAATTGCCGCTCTCGCATCAAACTCCCAAGAGCGCAGAACCTGGACGGAGATGAAAGCGGTCATGGCCCCGGAGCGCGCCAGCCCCCTCCTTCCCCGGTCGCATGCTTTCAGGAGGCAACGCTTGGGCTTACGCACACCTGCCGGGCCGGCGTCGGCCGTGGGCTGGGGGAGCAGAGCCCCGTGTTCCCCCCGGCATGGCCCAGCAACCTGCCGGGTCATTTAAACCTGCTGGGTTTATGTGGGAGGTGCAGGAGGATGTTGGGACCGGGCAAAAAAGGTGGGAAAAGCAGCGCGGAGCAGCCAGCTCCCTCCAGAGCGAGCAGGATGCATCTTCCCCCTTCCCTCCTGCCCTCCGACAGTCAGGGGAAGGAGGAATGCTTTTGCAAAAGCCACTGAAATCCTTACTCTGCCTTGATGGCTTGCAAAACCAGCGTGTCTTCGAGCAGGGCACGATCCAGCCCCTGCCACGGGGCGGCTGGCAGGGGGGGAGAGGCAAGGCAGGACACGTCCTGCTGCTCTTCCCGTCCCCCCGTCCCAGGAAAACGGCGGCCTCTCGAGACAGGAGGAAGCAGCTGGTGCGTCAGTGCGTGTGCTTTAGCAGCGAGCTACGGTCATGATGCTGCGGGACCACTAGCAAAAACTTTGTGCAATAAAGTGGAGCAGCTTGGGAGAAGCCCAGAGGTGTCAGGGTGGGTGCTGAGTTCAGGGTGCCCTCCCATGGGGTGCTGCTGGGCTCCCCGGTCCCCTGGCATGGGTGCTCCGGAGCAGAGCCGACGGTCCCGGGCTCGGGGTGTGCTTGCTGCCAGGGCTGTTGGCGGGGACGCTCCCTGCACCCAGGCGGAGCTGAGTCCCAGCCCACGGGGCTGTGGGGAACGTCGTGACCGTCATCCCAGCCCTGAGTAAAGCCGGAGGATTTCACCTGGCATCTGCCTAATTGCTGGCTTTAACTCTGCTGCGAGAAGAGCCCAGAAATCCCCAGCGCGGGCGCGGGGCTGGGACGGCAGCCCAGCTCTGCAGATCAAAGCGCTGAGCCCCAGACCAGAACCCAAATCTAACACTAATCCCCCGAAGGATGTACGCCGTCCAGAGGAAAGCAAAGACGAAGGAGTAACCCGGCCAGCACTCCTCCAGCAGCAGCCGTGGGAGGGCTGAGAAACGCCGGAGGGCAGGGAGAGGTGATGTCCCCGGGCAGGGCAGGGTGGGGGTCCTGCTGCCCCTTACCTTGGCAGTTCCTCTCGTTGATGAGCAGCTTGTAGCCCTTCTTGCAGCTGCACTCGAAGCTGCCCACCGTGTTCCTGCAGATGTGGTCGCAGCCGCCGTTGTTGAGCCGACACTCATCGATGTCTGGCAGGGACAGGGGACATGCGTCACGCCCCGGCTGGGATGCTCGGCTGGGAGAGCGGGGTCCTCCCCTCCGGACCCCATCCCCACCAGGAACCGGCAAACGGAGGAAACCCTTCGGGCTTTAATGGTGACTGGGGGAACGTGGCTGCTGGTTTTATCTGGGTGCATTTGGGGAGCAGATGCGTGACACTGGGGACACTGGGGAAGGCCAGGGCTCCTGGGCTCGGCTCCCCTTGGAAGTTGTGCAAAACGTTTAATTTCTGTAGGTCTCAGCATCCCCCAGAGCAGAGCCAGGAGCCAGGGTCTCCGAAAGAGCCTCGCAGCTGGGGGAAAGCACTAGACCAGAGTCTGCAGTCACAGGTTTGGGCTGGGGGATACTTTTGGGGACCAGGTGCAGCAGGAAGAAAGAGCGAGCAGGGAGGGGAAACCCCCTCCTTCAAAAACAGCCGCTCGACAAAATAAATACCTTTCAACCCTCACCTCTCTGCTCGCCATCTCCTTCCTGCCATAAACAAAGCTAAAAATGATGATGCACAATAACTGCAAAGAGCTCCAACAACCTGGAAAGAGGCTGGGATTTGGGTTTTGCGTTGGGTTTTTTTTGACTTTTTCTGCTAATCACAAAATTTACTGCTAGGAAACGACCTGTAAAATGGAAGGAGACCAGGAAGCAGCAGCAGCCTCCTTCCCCGTCCCTCCATCCCCCAGCCGCCAATGCCAGGGCGGCAGCTCTGCCTCTCTGGGGCTGGGGCTTTCTTTTTACGACTGTGAGGGAGCAAGCTGTAAACCAGCCCGCAGCCATAATAAAACCCCCAGACACAGGGGACGTGGCTCCGGGTTATTGCACGTTCCTGGAAACTGCAGAATCGGAGAAGTGGTGGTGGTGGGGGGATGCTCTGGTAAAATAACAGGGGGCAGGGGGTTTCTGGAAGCAGTCAGCAGGTAGACAGGCAGCCGGCAGCGGGA